GGCGCCATCTCAAAGAAATCCACATGTGCTAATATGGACTAGGACTTTTTGTAATTTTTATTGTGCCTTTGGGGGAAAACATCTTTTCTAATAAAAAGATACTTCATCACTTCTCAATTTAAAAAATATCCTTTTATTCTATAGAAGAATTAAACTTTTCCCTCTTATCTGGGTGGGGAACCAACTCATCAGTCAAATGTTTGACTCTTAAGGATGACAATAATAGAACAATTTAGTTGGTGAGCCAAGATCCCAAGGAAGAAGTGACCTTTGTAACATTATTGTTTCTGCTTATTTTAAAATATATTTAGCACTGCTAATAATTTATTAAATGGGGTTATAACTGCTGAGGTGGATTTGAGCTGCATCAATGGAAATATCTGTAGATAAAAATAAACTAAAAAAACATAGTATTTCTTAATTCTGATGACCAACCCTTATTAATAGCAGACATATTTATTTTAAAATTTTATAAATTTCAAAATCACCATTATTTTTAAGCTGTAAAAAGAGAAATAACTGTTTTTGTTTTATTATTTAGTTTTGTTTATCTGATTAAGAGTCCTCTATAGAGGAAAAGCATTACTGTCTATTACTTTAAGTAGCACTTTAAAAAAACTATAATTTGTTACAGCCAACTGTTCATTACTAGTAAGGAAGATAATGGCTTCCATTTAATGAATAACTATGAATCCCAACAGGTATAATCATCTTCAATTTACAAAACAGGCAACTAGAAGTCAAAGACACTAGGTCATTTGCTCAGACCAGGACTAGTGCTATGATCTGAATCTGGGCTTCTTTATTTTTTTCTTTTTTTAATAGAAAAATAATTGATTGTATATGTCTGTGGGATACAGTGTCAATATCAATACCCATGTGTAATATATGATGCTTAAATCAAGATACTTAGTATATTCAACATTGCACAATGTAATCATTTTCTGTTTCTGGCCCTTTACCAGTTTCTCACTAACCCCTCTCCCATCTCCCTTTCCCACCTCTGGTGGCCTCAGCTCTGTTCTCTCCTTTTGAAAGTTCAACAAATTATTGTGACTGTTGTATCTTTATTTTTTTAGCTCCCACTCATGAGTGAGGAAATGCGGTATTTCTCTCTTTCCGTGACTGTCTTATTTCACTTTACATAATTTTCTCTACTGAATGTGGGCTTCTCTGATTCTTAAGTTCCTTCCCCTGTTTCCTCTTTCTAAGGAGAAAAAAGAAGACTGATCAGTGTCTATCTGATTTTATAGGCCCTAATAAAATCCCCAAAGCTAAAAGTTAACTCAGAGAAAAAACTAATTTTTACCAAATATGTAACTGAAGAAGAATGTATTGAAGTATTCTTCAAAGTTCCTGAAGAAATAGTAGCAATTTTAAAAGAATGTTTCATTAGAAGTATGTAAATTTAGAGAAAAAACATGAAGAACAAAGGGCAAAGTAAAGAATAATGTGTTTAGCAATTGAGGAAGCCTAAATAAGAGGATTAATTAGATCTAATTATACCCACTATTCCTAGGGACATAGGAGAGTCATGACAGTTATTCTAGAGGCTCCCTTTGAATATGTGGACCCTGGAAATTCTGGAAGGGAGAAATTCTGAGTGCTCAGAGTACCAGGGGAAAGCTTTTGTAGGGATTAATGCTTCTGGGAGAAACTCTCACCAGAGGAAAATGGTCAACAACTTTCAGCTAGAAAAGAAAAAGTGGCCTAACCCCATGAGCTTAGCTTAGCTGGAGTTGGTGGGGTGCATTACTCCTGCCAGATGTACAAAAAGGGAAGGTATTAATGCCATGTTGTAAAACTACTCAACTATGCCAATTGTAGCGTTACAGCAACAGCCCACTAAAGCCAAAACTTTTCATTATTTTAGTTATACTAAGTTTCCATTTGTATTGTCAGGGTTAGGACTCAGACCCTTCAAACCCACTGTGCAGACTGGGTCACCAGACACCTCACATGCCAGGCTGGATCATAGACCCCTCACACGCAGGTCCATGCTATGTAATTGGGAAAGTTCCCAGGAGCCATTGGCAAACAACAGGAGCTCAGTCCTCAGCAGTAGCAGCAGCAGCAGCAGCAGCAGCTTCCCTGTGGATCAGAGCCACTCATCTTTCACACTTAAGTCCACAACCCAGGACACCTGGATGCGCATGTGCAATTACATCAAATGCTCGGCAAGATTCTGAACATCTGAGGGGCCCTGACCATTTTTCTTCACTTTCCCTATACACTTCTATCCCCTAAGTAACCAGATAGACAGAGATTTTACCTCTTCAAACTAGAGAATGGCAATCTCTGAACAGCACGGTACTAGGCATCCCCCAGGAAGAAGACACTGTAGAAACCATCTGATAAGGATTGAATTGTGTCCGCCAAGTTTTACGTATTAGAAGCTTGATCCCCACTGTAACTGTTGAAGGTAGGAAAGCCTATCATGGTAACGGAAAGGTGGGGCCTTGAAGAGGTGATTGATGGATTAATGGTGCTCATGGGTGTGGTTCTGAGGACTGTAAAAGGAGAGCACACAAGGAGCTCTCCCTCTCTCTGTTCTGTCATTTTCTGTCATGCAAGACCCCTGCATTGCCATAAAGCCATCACCAAAGAAGACCATCCCCAGATGTGCTCCCTGGACTTTGGACTTCCCAACCTCTGAAACTGTAAGCAATAAATTTCATTTTCTTACAAATTACTCAGTTTCAGGCATTTGTTGTAAGCAACGGAAATGGACTAATACACCATCATAGTGGCAGAAGGAAGAGACCCCAACTTGTAGTGACCTAATTAAAAAATAAAGGCAGAAGTCCTTGTATTCTTTCAAAGTTGACAGTAAGGATTGCTACTACTAGAGCTAATTAATGGGCATTTTGGTTGGCCAAACCTGAATTCTTTTGACAAAAATGAGTGTCCCACCTAAGTCTATTAGACTTACTGTGCAAGAGTCTAAAATATTTTAGATATTAATTTCTGTTCCGAAGAGTATCAGTGACATGTTCTATCTCTCTTATCAGCCTTAGTAGCTTTCAAAAAGGATACAACAGTGGTGGAAACTCAGAAGCAGAAAGCATGGTCAAAGAATGAAAAATTCCAAAAGTGTATTTATTAATTCCTCGGTTCCTTGACCTGATGGACAAGGCCTCTGAAATGTCCTCTGCCCTATATCTCCCTGCAGAGCTCAGTTCTTGCTCCTTTACTACCACCTAAATGATCCAAGGGCAAGTTCAGATTTACATTACCCTCATGAGATTATCTCAGCTGAACTACACCAAAGCACATTTTCAAATGTCCCAGTGCAACCTAAGCATGATGCAAGATTTCTTAACCTAATGCTCAGATCACTACAAATTTTGACATTGCAGGGTCAGCATCCACTTTGGCAAAGAACCAGATCACCATTCCCACCTGGCAGGCTAACAGTGTGGGGCTCTGTGACATCAAAAAGCAAGGGCAACTTCTTTTCATTTTCCAGCAACGAAGCATAGCAACTTCCACCAACTGAGTAATGTGAATGAAAGTCAGCAATCTAAAAACGTTTCTAAATCTAAATTCGTGTTAGTGTGAGGTCTCACAAAAGAACTCCCAAAGTCCCACCGCGTTTGACCTACAAGACCGAGGTAAAGCAGCTTGCAGTTTACCTCCGAGGAAAAAAATCACACACAAAACATTTTAAGACAGCATTTGAAGCACATTGTCCACCAGAGAAACAGGCTGAAAGACCAACGTTATCATGACATCAGGCCACCCAGCTTCTTTCACATAACTAATGAGAAGAAAGATGATTGTGTGTGTATGAGGCTATGACTGTAAAGACCCAGTTGTAATTCGCAGGCATTTCCTTACGCTGCACGTGCGCAGACGAGCACGCCGTTTTCAGGTAGGATATCAAGACCGAATCATCACAGATTCGGTTCTGTCGTGTGGACCTTGTGTCACCAACAGTCTTCACTCTCAGCCAGTCACCTGATGGCTGACACCTACTCTGGTCTGCTTTTGTTTGATACAGAGCTTGGAATTACGTTGCTTCCAGGCCCAGTTCCAGTGCTCTTGCTTTGGTTTCAAGCTTTCTTATAATGAATAGTCATTCAGCCGGATATTACCTAAGTAACAAAAGTTCAGAACCAGCTTCCTGCTCCGTGCTGCCAATTACTGTTTTTCTTAACTACTTTACTAATTAATCAGAGACACACACATTTAAACATCTTCTACAGATCAAACTGGCAGTTTTTAAAATTTGTTATAATCAGAGTTGACAATGACAAAGTGAGAATAAAATATTAATGGGCACAACTTTTCAGATTAGAATTTTGGCCAAAGTATTATACCCTTTTGATCCTGTAATTCTATCACTAGTAATTTACCCTAAGATATAAACAGTGATACAGACAATAATATTCAAATAAAGAGGATCTTCATGGGGCCATGCATAGTAAGTAACACCAAAAACCACCACAATAACAGGGATTAGATCAATGTTATTGTATTTCTGTACATTGAGCTACTATTCAGCCACTAAAAGTCAAGAAAATTAAGGACAGCAATACTCTCTTTATAAAACATTAATGCTGTTTAGTAGACAGCAATGCATAAGATTAAGTAAAACAAAGTTTAGTTGCTATGAAGTTCATTAACAAGACATTCTGGGGTTCACAATACTAAAAGAATGCAGTAGAGTGTACTGTTGTTAAACTGGGCCACAATCCCAGTAGATGGCTTCCATTACAAATTGGCGACGTATCTGGCTCACAAAAGATTCAAGTTTTCCTAATTATGCCCCCAAATTATATCATATTCTAGTGTTTGTTATAAGGCATTATTTTCAAAATTAGATTATTACTTAACTAAACTAGTTTCACACCCTAAATCACATTTAAAATACCCTACAAGATTTTATCTAAACTCAAATTAGAAATAGAAAAATCTCATTATTGTAATTAACTAAATTCTACTTTGTGAAACATACACAGCCAAAATATATGAACAAAGACATATGGAGAACTCACATAAAAGAATCCAAGTGGTCCAGATATATATGGCACTTTCATTCCCAAGAGATACTTGACTTGTGAAGTCACGACATGGGTGGCAGCCCCAGTTGTCATCGCACTGATCACAGGCTCCGTAAGCAGGAATGTGGCACTGCCCAGTTGGAGCACAAACATGGCCACCTAAGAGAACAAACTAAGAGTCAGACTATACTTTCAGATGAAATTTCTCAAGGCTTCCAGAGGGATTAACATCTGACACATTTTTATTTTCATTTTACAGAGCTATAAAGAACTGATGTGTAACAGGTTTCTTAAATTTTGTATATTCAGTACTTTGGCTTTTCTTGAGAACATTACTTGGATCCAAGACTTTCTAAATGTTACTGGGTACAATGTAAGTATCTCAATTAAAATTAACCACAAGCTTTTTCTGAATATTGATTTTTTTTTCTTTTCTTTTCTAATCTTATATGTTACAAAAAGGGAAATACACTCAAGTCAGTTAACATATGGAGTTCTGTGAAAGAAAAATCAAATTTGAATACCATATCTATCATTTTAAAAATCAAAAAGATACAATTTACTACTTTACTGGCAGTAAGCTTAAAACCTCAAAAACATTGAAGAGTGAAAGCCATTCCTTTAGTTTCTTCCAGGTTCTGAGAAATGGGAACGTGCTATTTTGACCAGCAATTCCATCAAACAGCACTAAGGGGCCAATATTTAGTAAGAAGTTATCAGAACTTATTTGTATATGGGCAAGAGCAAATAACAGAGATAGGGTAAAGGAACATGTCTTAAAAAGCACGGAAATCAGTAGAAAAACTATTTTCCTTAAACATTTTTTTACTACTCCCAGTATCACGCTTTATCTCAAAACCATTTCAGGACCAGACAAAATCATCAACTCTGGGTAATAGCTGTGCATTGAGCTCTGCTGGGCAAAAGGTGACAGTAAGAATCAACTCTCCTCTCTAACTCTTAGCACTTCAATGATTAGTGTTCTTTCTTTGCCAGAGAGAGAGCTTTGAGAAGATGGCTCACTCTTTCACTTGACACAATTGTGTAAACTCAGTCATAGAAACTGCAAAAAGTAAAATTTACTTTTTTGAAAATAACATTAAATTATATTCATGAGTATCCACGCTGGAAAAGGGAAACAAAGTAGGTCATGCTGATACAACCTCTTAATGTGTCAATTGTAATATTTAAGTCAAGTGATTGATATTACAATCATATTGCAGTGCCCCTTGGACAAAGCAATAATTTTCTGAACTTATATTATAGTGGAGTTTCCTGGGCTCAGATCCGAAAGCCTAGGTTCTGATCCTGGTTCTGATCCTGGTTCTACCTCATCCTAGATTTGTGACTATAGAAAACCTACTCAAATTCTCTGAGCCTCATTCTGATCTGTAAATTTTTAGGGTGATGTCTGCCCTATCTATCTTGTAGAGTTGTTGTAAGGTGAATGGGAAAAAATATATGAAAGGGCTTTAAAACCTGTAAAATGTGTGATATACATAATGCAGCCTGAATATCATGAGGTATCTGAGATATTTACCCAGTACGGAAAACCAGTCCACAGTTTTGAAAATGCAGAAAGGTCCATACCACATTTCCCAATTCTATGAAACTTAAAAGAATCTATCAGTGCAGAAAAAAAAATGTATTTGAATTGTTTGCAGCATAGCAACCCCCTTTTATTCAATATGTAATGCAGAAAAGAATATGGGTTGCCAGTGTAGAAACCAAGCCATTAGTTACTGCCAACATAGGAAGCCAAAGCAGTAGCTTCTGCTACAAAATTTTTTTAAAAAACTATATGTCAGTTTGTCAAAGCAGAAATGTTCTGAGGGAAATACTCAAACAACCAGTGGTATGAGTACAAGTGCAACACAGTGATCTTTTCAGCAATTCTTCATTCATAGTCTGTTGATTTTCATCCTGAACACACAGTTAAGAACATTGAACTAATTATTAGCAAGTATCTCTTTAGTGGTAAGTTAGTTCTAATTTATGACATTAATGCTCACAGACCATGAAGATGAAATTAGCATATTATTGGGGTGCAATACCAAAGAGTTGGATTTTCACTTCAGCTAAATGCAGCATACAAGTAACCCAACTCTTAGAAATGGTGAAACCTATTTGCATATATAAAATTTTATGCATATGTGGAATGTTGGAAAAGTTTTATTTTTAGGCCAAGTAAACTTACCTTCATTTATTTTGAGAAGCAAACTCCTGGGAGGTGTTGTATAGATCATTACCATTCTACTGTCTATTTTTCGTTTGTTTCCTAAATTCCAGGGCCAATTTACAGGGATTAATGATTTGCCATGCCTGAGAAACAAACGTCACCTAACCTGAGGTGGTCACCAACCACTTCCAGTTAAACCACTACCTATCTTCTAGTAGAAGCTTCTTTGTCATTTCCACAACCTAACAGTTACAAACAGAAGGGTCTAGAAAAAGTAGAAGATATAAAGAGGTCAACTAATTGCAGTGCTGAAAATACAGGAAACTGCCTTGCAACAAAATTGAGAAAAAATTGAGTATCCTATTTTAAAACATCCAAAGACTCAAAATATTTTTGTAATATTCTACTTCTACACATATTTATGCTTTTAAAAAATTCTCCCAGCAGGAGATAAATCCCTAAAAGGAGAGTTCTTGATTCTGAAAGGTTGACAAGTCCCTTAAGACCTCATTTTTGATGCAAACCATTGGACATATGAAGGATGATTATGAACATGTGAGATTTAACTGAGGGGAAATAACTCTCTTCTGATTGACAACTTTCCATCACCCAAGGCAATGGTAGATATCTTAAGAAGGAAGAGGAGGAAGAGAAGGGAAGGGGGAGGGAGGAGGAGAGATTTTAAAACCCCCTTCTTTCCCACTACCCAAATTTCAGCAGTTTATTCACATTGAAATTGGGGATCTGGCACAGAGAGGCTGATATACACAGCTTGAGGGCAGCAAGTACCCAAGCAACTCAGCCTTTGCTAGAGGGCCCCACAGATTGACCCTTGTTTATTTGCAAATTTAAGTATGTGAAATGGGGGTTCTTCTAAAACATGTTGCTTAGAGGCCCAGTATTTAAATTTTATACCAAATGTTAAGGATTTTTTAAAGCTACTGATGTAATAAACAGCCACATCAGCTCCTTTTACTAATAATAGGTATGATAATAATTCTAATCTGGCTAGCCGAGTCCCAAAATCTGACCATGCAGCATTTTATGAGAAAATAAATATCATACAGTATATTTCAGATGTTTGTGGTAATGCTGATGTTACGGGCTAATGCTGAAAATCTCTGACATATATTAGCAAGGTTCACTAGCATGAGTCTATTTGTTGTGTAAACACCATGTGTTCTACCTAAATTGAACGTATCTCAGATTTAAGCCATTTTTTGCAAGTGGCATTCAAATATTTTTAAATAAAAAAGTGCATAGGAAACAACCACATCACCTGAGTAGATGGAATATAGCGTGTATTTCAGGTTATGTTGGTATGTCTGCAGTCTAGCTCTTACCTTATACCAAATCACTTATTTGTCCATTCAATGAATATTTAATGAATACCTACTAGGGCTAGGCAAAACATCGTTGCACAATAGATAGTTCTGCTTTTACCAGAGTGTTATTTAAATGAAATCATATAACATAGAGACTTTTCAGACTGGCTCAATGTATAAAACAACCTCCCTGAAAGAAATGGCAAAAAATGTGCTGATGTAAATAACTTTGGGAATGAGTAGAGTCTGTGAAACTAAAGGCAAAAAAGAAACACCATATTCTAGTTGGTAATGCTGTCTCCCATGCGGGTAGGGGTTAACAATTCTGAAACCACTATACACGTACACTTTAATTTCAGAATTAAGAAATTGGATGGTGGAGAGTGGGAGCGAGGTTCTCACTGTTGGAGCAGGAGGTTACAGACAAGCAAGGCAAGAAGGCTAGAATGAGCATCGCGGTAATGGATTAGAGTTGGAGACATCGCTATGAACTCAGGTTTAGCTTAATACAGATACAGAAGGTGCTGTGGATTGAATGTCCTCCCCCAAACTCAATGAAGTTTAAGTTGTGCCCCCCAAATTTCCAGGTATCAGAAACTTGGGCACCCCCTGTAACTGTTTAGGGTGGGAAATCTTATTATGGTCATTGAAAGGTGGGGCCTTGAAGAGGTGATTAAATTGTAGAACCATGCCAGAGTGAATGGATTAATAATGGTGATCAGGGGTGTGGTTCTGAGAGCATATTAGAGTCTCTGTCTGCTCTGCCATTTTCTGCCATGTGTGAGACCTCTGCATTGCTGTAAAGCCACCACCAAAGAGAACCCTCACCACTTGTGTTCCCTGGACTTTGGACTTCCCAGCTTCAAACTATAAGCAATAAATTTCATTTTCTTATAAATTACCTGGTTCCAAGTATTTTTTTTATAAACAACAGAAATGGACTAATACAGATAGATACATATAGGAATACATGTATATGTTTACATACATGAGTTAATATACACATGCATTTCTTTGCTCTGTCAGCTGAAATGCCCTAAAAGCAGCAACACCTCAGTAGCAACGGATACACTTATCACCCAGATCTTGATTTCTGAAACCTTTCTGGAACAAAAGGAACGAGGTCTCCTTACAAAAATGGATAATTCTAGGGCCGGGGCTGGACACATACAACATGAACCTGGATCATATTGTAGTGCTGGAAAGTGAGGAAGTGCTAAATAAATGAATAAACAGGAGTGTGAAGGAGGGACACTGCATCCAGCTGAAAGAATTCCCAATGCCCAGAGGTGGAACAATTTGTAGTATTTGATTATAACCCAAAGAATAAAACAAATACCCTAGATTTCATACTGGTATAAATGATTGACTAAATAAATAAGTGGGGGAGAATAGGCACATCTCCTGTGCAGAAGTCCAATAATTTATTGCTGATACTCCCCGTTCTTTAACTTAATTCTCCACTTAACCTAACTTCCACTCCTTAAGTGTGGGCTGTGCATACTAACTTATTTCCAAAGAACACAGTATAGAACGGAAGAAAATAGAGCAACCATACAGTGGAGAAACCTGACAAACTATCTCAGCCAGGTGATCAAGTCAACACCAACAATACCTCTTGCAGATAGTCTACGATGTGATGAAAATGTTACTTT